AGAGGATCATTGCATATAAGTTTAGAATCTAACAGATTTCAGTAAATGGCAAGAATTTGGTATTCTTACATTTATCATAAGGATTTGGAATTGTGAAATGAGCATCATTGAAATGTTGTCAATTGATATATTTCACAAAGAAAGGACCATAGACAAACATAGTGTGCATGCTTGGAGCATGGGATAACTATTGTTTTAATTCAAGTATTAAGTTGATTATTCGAAACATTATACAATGAATAATGAGTAATCAATATGGCGATTAGATAAAAGGTGTTTTATTTACACTCAAAAGTTTTGGGGCCATATAGGATTAGTATTATTCTTGTGTTTCACTTTGCATGTTTTGACTTCCCGAATAACTAGGTTATTCAAACCATCCACAGTTGATCATACTTTGGAAGTAGATATTGAGGCAAGACAGTCATGAATGGGTCTGTAGGATTGTCTAAGGTGTTAGACATAGCACAAGTTTGCTGCAGTATTCATGAGTACTCTTGTAATAAGATTTGAGTATTGGATTCAACCCATGCTCATTTGTATTACTTCATGGATTATATCACGAGTGATCATGAGACGATAATATCTTATATTCTTGTAACCAAGACATGTGAGTTGTAATTTACAAGTAGGTTGCACATTGACATATGTAAACGCACCAGCAACTTGGTGTTATAAAACATATCGTTGTGTGTGATTTGATGAGTAAGTACAAGCAAGCATTTGAGTCGAAGTTTATCCATTCCATTTACCCTTAGAGGGATAAAAGCGATATTTGTGGGCACCTCGATGATTTAGTGAGGACGATCCTAAGTGCTTGGCCAAGCCTGGACTGATTTGATTTGTTCAATTAATCAGTCGTCATAAATCAGAAATCGGGAAACAACACATGAACAGAGAGAATGATGATAATCCATGTCTCAGTTCATACGATATCTAGAATGGAGGAATATATGATCCCTTATCTAATGGACGCGTCATTTGATTTGTTCAGAGTTCGACAGCGGCTTTTGAGAGCTACGATTGCTAATCGGATTTTGGAGTCGTACCTGCAATTATAGTTATCAGACTTATCCAAGTGGGAGACTGTTGGATTAGGTGTCTAAGCCCATAACTATAATTGGTATGTACTTGACCCGATAGTAGCATGGTCCATTTCGGGTTGCGTTCATCAAGACAATTTGATAGGATGGATATTTGAGTAAGAAGTTATTTGTGATTTATTAATACATTATAAGTACAATATATTAATTGAGGAAACATATTATTTAATTAGTATTGATCAAAAATTAATTTGGAATTAATTTGGTGATCAAAAGAGACTAATTAAATTAACGGGGACTGATTAAGTCAATCAGTAATATTTATAGTTTGGACCATTAATCCATATTTATTAGGATGGACTAATTCTATGTGGAAGTCCATGAAGAGTTAGTCCATAAGGCCCAACATATGGATTAGTGGATTGCTTAAAGGTTTAAGTAAATAGACTAGGGTTTACAAGTTAAACCTTAGGAAGCCCACATTATAAATGTAACCCTTCTTAAGCCAAAATCGTGACAAGAGTGAAAGGACATGAGATGCACGATTTTGTGCTTCATAACTTCTCTCTCAATATTCTCCAATTGTTCATGATGTTTGTGACTTCTTTGAGGTACAACACTTGAGGTGCTAAGCTCTTAAAAGGCCAATGTCTACAAGCTACAACAAAGAGGTAATAATCTAACTTACTTTTATGATTTATGTGTCAAATTGTATGCTAGTTGTAGGCTTAATGCTTTGGAAATAATATTGCATGTATAATTAGAGAAAACATAGATCCAAGGCATTTAGGGTTGTATGTGCATCATAGGATGTTGTAGTATATAAAACACAACAATAAGATGCTTAAATAGGGTGCAAACCCTAAAATTTAGGGTTTGCATCTGACTCGTCTACGCACAGCGTACGCATGGGGATTTCCCGCTTCGCGCCTCACCTATGTACTCCGTGCATACACCATGTATGCCCATCATACGCCCCGACCCTCAAAATCCAAATATAAACATAAATATAACTTGAATAGGAAGCAACATAATACCTTACAAATCCTGGGCATTACAAATCTCCCCCACTTGATTTTGACTTCGTCCTCAAAGTCTGTTGCTGCTGGAAACAACTCTGGGTAATGCTCCCTGAATGTCCACCAAAGGAACCACTGCGGTATCATTGGCTATGCACTTCCGCAGCTGCGAAACATGAGAAGTGTTGTGGATCTGCCTAAGCTCTTCCGGAAGATCCAACCGATACGCCACCTTGCCCACCCGGGCTATAATCCTGAAAGGTCCGATATACCTGGGGCCCAGCTTGCCACGTTTTCTGAAGCGGATGACACCTTTCCAAGGTGACACCTTCAGAAGGACCATATCCCCGACCTGGAACTCTAGGTCTGATCGGCGTCTGTCGGTATAGCTCTTCTACCGACTCTGAGCTGTCTGGAGCCTACTCCGGACCTGCTGGATCATCTCTGTCGTCTTGAGTACCACTTTGGTACTCCCCATGACCCTCTGACCAACCTCACCCCAACATATTATTGTCCTGCACTTTCTCCCATAAAGCATCTCGAAGGGAGGGAGGTCGATACTGGCGTGGTAGCTATTGTTATAAGAAAACTATGCCAATGGAAGGTAGGTATCCCAACTACCACTAAAGTCTAAAACATACGCCCCTCTAGCATATCCTCCAAGGTCTGGATGGTCCGCTCACTCTGACCATTGGTCTGCGGGTGAAAAGTCGTGCTGAAGTGCAGACGAGTACCCAACTCGTCATGAAATTTCTTCCAGAATCTGGAAGTGAATCGCACATCCCCGTCAGAAATCATAGAAACTGGCACCCCATGCTAAGCTACTACCTCCCTGATGTAGATGTCTGCCAGCTTCTCGGCCGAAATACTCTCCTGAATCGGTATGAAATGGGAACTCTCGGTCAATCGATCCACGATGACCCATATCGCATCAACTCCGCGCGCCGTCCGAGATAACTTCGTAATGAAATACATAGTGATCTTCTCCCACTTCCACACAGGAATATCCAACGACTGTATTTTGCCGTGCGGACTCTGATGCGCTCACTCTTCCGGTGCTCCTCTCAGATAGCCTCCAATTGTGCCTCTCGAATCCTCTCCATGAGTGGAGTCACTACTGTCATCCTCAGACAGATGTCCCTGATCGGGGCCGAGAATGTCTTGCGGCTAAGGGCATCAGCCACAACATTGACCTTTCCCGGGTGGTAGAGGATCTCGCAGTCGTAATCTTTTACCACGTCCAACCACCGCCGCTGCCTCATGTTCAGATTTGGCTGATCCATCAGGTGCCTCAGGCTCTTATGATCCATGTAAATAGTACATCGGACCTCATAGAGGTAGTGTCACCAAATCTTAAGGGCAAAAATAACTGCCCCCAACTCCAGATCGTGTGTCGGGTAATTCGCCTCGTGAGGCTTCAACTGCCTCGAGGCGTAAGCGATGACGCGCCCTCTCTGCATCAACACTGTGCCTAAACCCGAGATAGACGTGTTGCAATAAACTACAAAGTCCTCGAAGCCCTCTGTCAGGGACAATATCGATGCCTCGCACAACTTCTATCTCAAAGTCTCGAACGCTGCTTGCTGCTCAGGCTCCAAGCGAAATGTCACCGACTTCTTGGTCAGTTGGGTCAACGGAATAACAATCTTGGAGAAGTCCTGGATGAATCTCCGATAATAACCTGCCAGGCCAAGAAAAATCTGAATCTCGGATGGAGACCTCGGAACCTCCCATCTCATCACTACCTCAACCTTGGCCGGGTCGACCAGAATATCGTTCTGGTTGACAAGGTGCTCCAGAAACTGCACTTCGTCCAACCAGAACTCGCACTTGGAGAACTTTGCAAAAAGTCTCTCCCTCCTTAATGTCTCCAACACCTCCCTCAGGTGCTCCTCGTGCTGCTCCTGAGTCTTGGAGTAAACCAAGATATCATCGATAAAGGCTATCACATACCGATCCAGCATCGGTCTGAACACGCGGTTCATGAGGTCCATGAACGCGGCAGGAGCGTTGGTGTGCCCAAACGGCATCACGTCGAACTCGTAATGACCATATCGAGTCTAAAAGGCTGTCTTCTGCACATCTTCGTCCCTGACTCTCATCTGGTGATAACCCGGTCTCAAATCAATCTTGGAGAACCAAGATGCACCTTGTAGCCGGTCAAATAGATCATCAATCATCGGGAGGGGATAACGGTTCTTCACCGTTACCTTATTCAACTCCTAGTAGTCTATACACATCTGATGGGACCCGTCCTTCTTCTTCACGAACAGAATCGGGGCTAACCCAATGCGAACTGCTTGGCCTGATAAATCCCTTGTCTAACAGATCCTGCAGCTGTGTAGACAACTCCTGCATATCGGGAGGAGTCAACCGATACAATGCCTTGGCTATCGGAGTAGCGCCCGAAACTAAGTCAATCCTGAACTCCACCTGTCTCTCCGGAGGTACCCCATGCAAATCCTCCGGGACCACATCCGGATACTCCCGCTCAACCGGTACCACATCCACGGTCGCCTTAACCTTATCCCAGGTATCCATAACTTAGGCGACAAAACTTGCGCATCACTGATGAAGGTAGCGTCTAGCTCTCACCGCAGAACACATGACCGGCCCACGCTGTGGTCTCTCATGCTGAATTACCAGCTCTCCCTAGGGATGTAAGTTTGACCCGTGGGTTCGGGTACCCACGGGTACCCGCCCCGACGGGATCGGGTATTCCCCGTTGTAACGGGTAACGGGTCGGGGATGGGTCTCACATGTTGTACCCGAAGCGGGGATGGGTCGGGGTCGGGTTTGGCACTATCCGCCCCGCTAAGACCCGATATATATATATATATATATATATATATATATATATATATATATATATATATATATATATATATATATATATATATATATTGGTATTCCCTTTTCATTCATCGATTTATTGTACTGTCTTTTCGATTTACAAGACATGGAGTACTCAACAGTCATGTATCTCTTCGAGACTACACTCTATATGCATCTCTTCGATTACCAGACTGCAATCAAGTTCATACCATACCAGTTATGGCGTATATTAAAAGGGGAACATTGCATCTGCATTTAACATGCTTCTCATCAGTCATTCTCCAGTTCGTTCGATAAGAGACAAGAGTTCGTCTTTAATGTCATTCTCATTCTCCTTCTCTCCTGATGAACATGAATGATTCTCCTGTTCCACCACAAGATCCCCCCATCAAGTAAGTTTCTTTTTTCTTTTTCTAAACTTATTTTCTGAACTCGTCTGCAACCTCCTTCTCCTTCTCATTTTTTGTTGTTGTAATCGATTTAGCCATAATAGCCCTAATCTTTTGTTTGCTGTAATAAATTCAAGTCGCAAACTCGCAATCAGTATGCTCTAATTTTCTTTTCATTTAATCGGTTGCTGTTATAATTGGTTCCTGCCCTAATTTCATCTAATTTTTGTTGTTATCTACTGTTGCTATAATCAACCATCTATGAACTCGTTTATCTTCTGTAATCATGGTTATTTCTTATTATTTGATGAAATTTATGAAATCAACCATGTATGAAGCTTATGGACCTGAAATTGATTCCTGGACATTTATTTGAACTTGAATAAAATCTTTAGTTGGACCTGAATCAATTGATTTTCTGAACTCATCTTCAACCTGCTTCTCCTTCTCATTTTTTTGTTGATGTAATCGATTTAGCCTTAATAGCCCTAATCTTTTGTTTGCTGTAATAAATTAATGTGGCAAACTCGCAATCAATATGCTCTAATTTTCTTTTCATGTAATCGGTTGCTGCTATAATTGGTTCCTGCCCTAATTTCATCTAATTTTTGTTGTTATCTACTGTTGCTATAATCAACCATCTATGAACTCGTTTATCTTCTGTAATCATGGTTATTTGTTGTTATTTGATGAAATTTATGAAATCAACCATGTATGAAGCTTATGGACCTGGAATTGATTCCTGAACATTTATTTGAACTTGAATAAAATCTTTACTTGGACCTGAATCAATTGATTTTCTGAACTCATCTTCAACCTGCTTCTCCTTCTCATTTTTTGGTTGATGTACTCGATTTAGCCTTAATAGCCCTAATCTTTTGTTTACTGTTTTGTTTACTATAATCAATTCCTGATGTAATCAGTATGCTCTGTTTTTTTATGTAATCGGTTGTTTACTTGAACCTGACTTTGCATAATCTTTTTAATTTTTGTAATCAATTCCTCATCTTTTATTCACTTTAACCTGACTTTGCCATGCTTTTTAGTGAGACTCATGATCAACAACCTCCACAACCAAGTTGTGAGGCTTTTGCTACAACTGATGAACAAGAGGCTACTGTAACTAATGCACAAGATGTTGCTACAGTTGTTGGCTAAGCTGCTGAAAATACAAGAAGATTGACTTCTCCTGTTTGGGCACATTTTGTAAAACAAAAGATTGGTGGACTAGATAAGGCTGAATGCAACTATTGCGGGAAAAAGTTGAGTGGAAAAAGCAAGAATGGAACCAAACACCTTCATGAACATTACAAAAAATGTAATGCAAGAAAGAATAAAGACACCAGCAGTCGATTTTGAATCCACGCCAAGAGAAAAAAGAAGGACCTATTTCACTTGGTGCACATACGTTTGATCAGAGTGTTTCAAGAGATGAGCTTGCAGATATGATAATTCTACATGAGTATCCACTCAACATGGTTGAACATGTTGGATTTCGAAGCTTTGTCAACTCTGTCAATCCGTTATTAATCCGTTATTTAAGCATCTGTCAAGAACAACCATTAAGAGTGATATAAAAGTCATTTTTGAAAGTGAAAAAACAAAGATAAAAAGGGTTCTAAGTTCTAACAAAGGTAGAGTTGCGGTGACAACTGATATGTGGACAGATTCTAACCAAAAAAGAGGCTACATGGTTGTCACTGTACATTATATTTATGATTCTTGGAATCTTTGCAATAAAATTCTAAGGTAATCAACTACATCTTTTTTTCTTTTATATTGATTTAATCTTTGAATATTTGTGTTCTAATCTGATAGTTTTTTTTTTAACTTGTAGGTTCATGTATGTTCCAGCCCCTCATAATGCTAAAACACTATCTAAAGAGTTAATGGGGTGTTTAGTTACATGGTCCATTGAATGCAAGCTATCCACTTTGACTTTAGATAACTGCAGTGTTAACTTTTCTATGATAGACAAAATGAAAGAAAAGTTGAGGTCCGATAATCTCCTTCTGAAAGGAGATTTGCTTCACATGAAATTTTGTGCGCATATATTGAACTTGATAGTTCAACAAGGATTAAGTTCAATTCAAAGTGTTGTAGACTCTATCCGTGAGAGTGTTTTTTATTGGACTGCAACTCCTAAAAGAGTGGAAGATTTCGAGGATGCGAAGGATGGGTTATCTCTTTCAACGAATAGAAAGTTAGCTTTAGATTGCAAAACAAGATGGAACTAGACTTATCTCATGCTTATGAGTGCAATTGTATACAAGGATGTCTTCAATCGCCTTGTACACACTGATAAGAACTACAAGCAAGCACCAAGTGATCAAGATTGGCTTTCGGCAAAAGTGATGTGTGAGAAGCTCAAATTGTTTAACAGTGTAACTGAGGTGTTTTCTGGGATTAAATATCCTACTGCCAACATCTTTTTTCCAAAAATATGTGAGATTCGAATGTTGCTTAATGAGTGTATTATATCACCTTATTTGGAGATTAAGACAATGTCTACCAGTATGATTGAGAAGTTTGACAAATATTGGTCTGTCATACATAGAGTTTTAGCAGTTGCCACAATTTTAGACCCAAGATTCAACATGAAACTCATTGAGTATTACTTCCCTAAAATTTATGGTCATGAGTCCTCAAAAGAAGTAGAGCGAATTAGAAAGTTGACATATGATTTGGTAAAATAATACAAACCACATGATGCCAAAGAAACATGTTGTTCCTTCAATAATTTTGATTTTGGCATGGATATTGATGATGGTGGAGATTGTTTGGCTGGTTATGATCTATTTGTGAGTTCCACTTCAACTGTTGATACTTACAAATCTGAGTTAGATTATTATTTAGAGGAGAATGTATTACCCAGGACAGGAGATTTTGATATTTTAGCATGGTGGAAGACCAATGGTCTTAAATATCCTACTTTGCAACAAGTTGTAAGAGATATTTTGGCTATACCGGTGTCTACAGTTGCTTCTGAATTGGCGTTTAGCAGTGGTGGAAGACATGTCACTCCTCATCGTAACAGGCTTCATCCCGATACATTACAAGCATTAATTTGCACCCAAGATGGTGAGTCTGTAAGTTTGTTGTTTTTAACTTTTTATTTTTTTTTATTTTGTGTTTATATAATAATTGCCTTCAATTTTGCTGTTGTTGGTTTAGGGTCCAAGCTATGTGGATTTTGATGCTTAGTTTTTGAAGATTGGAAGATGATTGACAGCAATGAAGACCAAACTTTTTTTTTTGGAACAAGAACAATAGAGTGAAATTGTTTGGTTGATTTTAATGTTTGGTTATTATTTTTGTTGCTTGTGACTGTTTCATGGATTTTTATGTTTGGTTTAGTTTGTTGTTTTTGAGAATTAAGTATGAACAAGTGATATTTTATTATTATGATAAGTAATGTTTTTTTCTTTCTAATTGTTGGGTTTTGAAAAATTATACTCTATATAAATGGGTATCCAGTGGGTTCCCCATATCCATCGGGTATTTCTTCACCCAAACCCGTTGGGTATTTCGCGGGGCGGGGGAGGGGATGGGTTTGGGGTTAGAAGTTGGGTATGGGGATGGGATTTGTGGTCCCCATCACTACCCGCCCCCGCTTGCATCCCTAGCTCTCCCCCACTTGGGGTCCTAACCCGAACCAACTGCTGCTCACAGTCGATCACTGCCCTATTGGGGCTCAACCAATCCATACCTATGATGACCTTGTTCCCACACAAAGGAATGGGAACCAAATCCACAACATAACGCTCAACATACATCCTCAGAACACAATCCCTATAAACCTCTGAAGACCGTACGAATCGATCGTCTGCAATCTCGGCCTCTAAAGGACAATCCGACATGATCGTAGACTCAGCAAACTTCTTGTTGAGTGCAAGAGATACGAAAGATCGGGTAGCCCCCGAGTCGAATAATACCAACACTGGGATACCGTGCACGTGGAACGATCCCGTCACCACATCTGGTGCGACACGCGCCTCTTGGGTGGTCAGCTAGAAGGCTCGGCTCCTCACCATAGGAGCATCTGACTTTCCCTAACGACCATTTGTGATCCGCAGGGTCGATGGATCTGGCGCCGCCACTGGCGCTCTTGATACCAATCTCGGGCAATTGGCCTTTTTATGGCCTCGCTGATTGCAGTGAAAACAAAGAAGGTCTGATGTCTGAGTAGTGGGGGTAGGGGCAGTACAATCCTTGCTAAAGTGCCCAGTCTTGCCACACCTATAGCAGCCCGATCCCCCTACCCTTCAACCTCCCTCATGCGTATTGCCGCATTTCCCACAGTGGCCCTGACCCTTCTGGCCCTTCGACCTCGAGTCGAATCCATTGGGTTTCTTCATCGAAACCCCAGTCGTCTGCCCAGTCTCCGCCTTCCTCTTCCTAAGGTGCTCTATATCAATATCCCACTCTCGTTCCATAGCTATCATATCATCCAAAGTCGGGCACGCCGAATAGCTAACATACTTTCTAATGTCCGCCCTCAGCATATCATGGTACCTGGTTTTCTTCATCTCCTCATCTCCCGTGTACTGAGGCACCAACAAGGCCCTCTCTCTGAACTTGGCGGTAATCTCCGCCACCGTCTCCATAGTCTGTCTCATGTCTAAAAACTCACTGGCCAACTACTGAACCTCCACAGGTGGCGCAAACTCTGCCCGAAACTTGGACACAAAATCCGAACAGGTCATGGCCTCAATGGCTTGAGCTCCCAAAGTGTCACTAACTGCCTCCCACCAGTCTCTAGCTCGCTCCCTCAAGCAACCGGCAACAAACCTGACCTTCGACCCCTCAGGGCAAAAGCTCTCCATCTGTACAGACTCAATGTCCGCAATTCACCTCCTATCTACATTGGGGTCCTTCACCCCGCAGAAGTCTGGAGCTCCGCATCCCCTGAAATCCTTGAAGGAGAGAGTACGAGTCCTAGAGTGGCCAGGTTCCATGTCACTCTTGAATTCCCTAAGGTGATCCTCCATTAGCTCAATGATACCCTCCTTGATCGACCCGAAAATCACCGGGGTTGACTCAAGGATGTCTCTCGTAATCTCGGATGCAATGAACTCGTGCAATCCGTCATTAATTCGTTCGGAACCCATACCCGAACCAGACCCAGCTCCTGAGCCCCCTGCTCCATGACGCGTCACCACCATTCTGAAACAAACCACACAATCATTAGGGTCATATAAAATCATCGAGAGATCTCACACTCTGCCACTCCTGGTTCCCCGCAGTTCTCCAAGAGGCAAGTACGGATCCTCTGCTTCCAGTAGTACGGGCCCATACTACCTTCCACATCTATCCGTACTTTCCTCCCGGTTTGCCTTGCGTCACCAAAACCTTTTCCTATCCGCACATACAATTCGTAATCAGATAACTCATGTCATTAATCTCATCCTAGACTTACCCTAGGGTAATCCCCGACCCACTCTCTGGCATCAGCTGCGAAAGAAGTCCCTGCTACCTCTCCCTAACTAGCTCGCGAATACTGTTGCATATTACTAAGACCAGATAATTCTTCGAATGAGAGGTCTCTCCCTACAACGGTTAGACTCAGACGAGAGCTGCGCAGTAGGGATAATCATAACCTTCTGAAATTATTTAGTCCTCGTAATATGTAACTTAGCGTATTCGTTTAATAGTTAGTTAAAGATAACTAAAACTCCTAATAGCACAAAGCAAGCAACATTTGAGCCTTGAGTAACCAAAACTAGGCATGTCCTAATCAGGCCATCATATCACTGACTAATCAGTACTAGCATGCAGTTCTCATAGTCATATCATATATCATAACAAACATGTATGGTATTTTGGGGAAATTTACTTGAGCTCGGTCGATTGCACGCATCACACTCCTTGTTCTTTATTAAAAACACTTAATTTTAATTTTAGAAAAATTTATTTTTCTTGTAAAAACCTTTCAAACCCTCGATTTGAGACCAGACACCCCCGAAAGTTTGTCTGAATCCCTCAAACCAAGGCTCTGATACCAACTTGTAACGTCCCAAAATTTAGAACCAAAAGTTTCATTTTTAATTAAGTAATTATAAAAACCATAGTATGAAAACATCAATAGTGCCATCTCATATCCTAGTCAAAACCAATATGTTAAATAACCAAATACACATCATAGAAAAGTAATATCAGAGTACAACTCCCAAAGATCTCCTAAGACGGAAAATCATAGTGTGATGCGCTGCGATCATGCCGGCTCCTTCCCTTTTGAAGAAGAAGTACCTGAAACCAAAACTGAAAAAACCGTAAGCACAAAGCTTAGTGAGTTCCCCCATCATACCACATACCATACAATAAATACGTTGCCAAGCATATCTGGGTGTTGGCCTCCCCTTCGTTCTATTTCAACCGGATATTGTCGAGCATATCTAGGTGCTGGCCTCCCCTTCGGTCTATTTCAACCGGATACTGTCGAGCATATCTGGGTGCTGGCCTCCCTTTCGGTCTATTTCAACCGGATATTGGGTCTATTTCACCCCTACCACTACCACATAATAACATAGCAAATAAGCACATAAATCATAATAGATAGTAGCATACCATACAATTATCACAAAGACAATCATCTCTACTATAAACAACTACTAGTGGGTCGGCATTGGTGCCTTCGACCCAATCATACAGGGAAGGTAACTCACCTCAACTGTGTGCCGAAATCGTACTCATCGGATGGCTCCGGACTCCTTTCCCTAAAGTACCACAAATTTACTAATCAGATATTAAGTCCAAATATGACTCCTTTATGGCCTAACTTCTAATCCATGTCGCAAGGCAAGGTTCCCTAATCCTTACCCTATTGGGCCTCTTTCTCCCATGGCCCAACTCATAATCAAATTAAGGCCCAATTCCATTCCTTTAAGATTTAAGGTCTAATAAGGCCCATCAAGGCCCAATACAACAATTTCCAGGTCTAGGCCCAGAGACCATACTCCATAGTGGGTCATGAGGCCCAACAAATTCAGGCCCAAGATCCTAAGGCCCAAAAACACCTTTGACCACTCTTCATGCGTACGCGCGGCGTACATGGAACTTACGCCCAACGTATGCTGGTCTTGACCATTATGGGAAGGTTGACCCAGTACGCGCAGCGTACTAGGGATACGCCCGGCGTACTGGCCAGCCTCCTTAGAAACTTCCTTGTGACTTAATCCATGAAGTCCTAACGTCCAAAACATAGATCCAGGCCCTTTAAGACGTCCTAATTCATAAAGTTACAAACTTTATGTATTTGCATGCATGGATGGGGGGTTAAGACATGATTTAAGTCCTTAATAACACTTTGTGGCCATCTAACACTTGTATGGTTGTGGATTAACCATAAAGGCTTGATTTTTATGGTTCTAAATGCTTCCAAGAGCTCAAAAAGACAACTCTTATGGACTGGAAGTACCAGAACACAAGAAGTCTCAACTATGGGGCCAAAATACCATAAATAACACCCCAAAACTATATTTAAGCATTCAATGGTCAAGGTTGGAGCTTAATTCCTCAAATGAGTCAGAAAAGATGCGAAACTTCTTGACCTATAAGCTCTCTTCAAGTCCTTGCTCCTTCTTCAACCTCCTTGCTCTTCAAAACCACCAAAATAACACCAAAATTCTCAAAGTAAGCTAAAGATACATGTAGGGGCTAGGGTTCGAGTTGGGCACTGAGAAGACAAGGGAGGCTGAGAGGATAAGGGTTTGGAGGGATATAAGATGCTTAAATAGGGTGCAAACCCTAAAATTTAAGGTTTGCATCTGACCCGTCTACGCCCAACGTACGCATGGGGATTTCTCGCTTCGCGCCTCACCTATGTACGCCGTGCGTACACCTTGTACGTCCAATGTACGCCCCAACCCTCAAAATCCAAATATAAACATAAATATAACTTGAATAGGAAGAAACATAATACCTGACAAATCCTGCGCATTATAGTCGAACACCGAGAAGCCCACATGACCGAAGACCACTCATGAGTACGCAGGGCGTACTCAACACGTACACACATCGTACTCGCTTTAGGGCTTGTACGAGAAGCGTACATGCTTGTACCCCAACTTACTCCCCTATTTGGCCAACTTCCATTTTTCCAGCTCTTAATCGATTAAGACCTCAATCCAAACTCATATCTGACTTCCTTAAAATGGTTTATCTTGTAAAGTTGCCAACTTTACGTGCATGCATGGCTTAATGTGGCTCTTAGAGCTCAAAATAGCTTAATAAATGACTTAGTACATGCATGAGACCATGAACGCTATAAAGTTTGCACCTTTAAGCTTGAGGAACTCTCCAAACATCTAGATCTACAAGAGTTAGCTTCTAAAACAGCCTTAACCCATCAATACCAACCAAAAAGGGACAAAGAAAGAGATTTAAGTAAAGAG